AGATATCTCTCCTATAATATAAAATAAGAGAAAAAATATATATTGTTCAAAATAATAGTAATTACTAAAAATAATGTTTATTATTAGAAGCATATTTGGAGACTTTTAATAATTTGAAATTTCTAAAATGAGGTAAAAAGAAAATATGTCGTATAATAAAAAAAATCATAAAAATGGTGGAAGATTTTACTTAAACATATTTTTGTTTATTAAAAAAATATGTCACATTTTTTTTACCTTTTTCCTCTTATTTTTATATATTTATTTTTAATTAAATTTTTATTATAAACTCACACCTCTTCATCTTTCAAAAACCTCTATACTTACTTAATTAATACTTATTAGTAATACCTATAAATTCCAGCTTTATATCTTCATAACCCCAAATTACTTAATATTTAAATTTGTGATATCTTAAAAGCACATCAAGAAAATATTTCTAACCAAATATATTTATGTTTAGCTTAATTGTCCTCTACTTTAATCTTGTAATGCAAAATCTATCGACAAAGACTTCTTTATATATTATTTTTACTTCTAATAAGAATGATACAAAATAAGATATATAAAAGAGAATAATTGATTTGTTTTTTTGCCTGAAATTATAAGAGCAAGATCGTTATTAAAAGTTAGACAAAAACAATTCTTGAAAATATTAAAATGTATTTGTAGATACGCTTAGCGGTGGGAGATAATCAAAATTATTATGAAGTTATTTTTAAATTTTAAATTAAATATGAATCATGAAAACTATAATAAAAATTAATTAAGAGAATTCATTTAAACATTTTGCTTAAATTAATAAAAAGCTTAAGACAAGCTAACTTGATTATGTTAAGATTTGATGCTAATTGTTACTGTTTTAAAAAAAATATAAATTAGTAAAAATACTAAAGACGAGCAAACTTCAGTCTTTTAATTACGATGCTAATTGCTTGTGTTTTCTTAATAGAATTAAATAAGCAAAGACTAACAAAAAAAGGAGACTAAAAAATAGAGTTGAAATAATTTTTTTAAAAAAACTTAGAATTATAGAAGAAAATTTCTCAAGGAAAAAATTAAT